GATTTATCGTCAAACCGGTAATCGTTACATCCCTAATATATATATATATATATATGTATATGTATATGTATATATGCATTATATGGATGGATGGATTGTGAAGTCTGCTTAATTATGAATATGTATATTTTGTCTATTTATATTTTAATCAATTTTTGAATCTAAAATGATGTAGCAGAAATGAAATACATGGCTCTTCTCCTTTGTGTGTCATCATTACCTTTGTGCAGTAATCTGTAAAGCACAAGCATGTTTGATGTTATGCAAATGAACATAGATCATGTTTGTGCATTCAGAATGCATGATATCTCCCTAGGTGGGAGTCTCGGTTCATTTTGATGTAAATGTTCAGTTTGCGCTCACATATTGGGAATCAATATTCATGCAAACCACTCTCTCACAACACCCTCATTTTTTCTCTCTCTCTTTTTTTTTTTTTTTTGCAAAATGTATGTTCTTTAGGGGATAATTCAGCCAAACAAATCTCTCATCATTTACTCACCCTCATTCCACACCTGTATATCTTCCTTTCCTCTGTGGAACACAAAAGTAGATATTTTAAAAGTTAGCGGTGTCGAAATATCATTTAACCCCATTGACTATCGTCATATTGACAAAAACAAACAAACATACGTTCCACAACATACATTTTTCACATTCCGTCTTCCACAAAAGAAAGTCATACTAGTTTAGAGCATGAGGTTTAAATGAATAAATGATCACAGAATTTTCATTTCTGAACTTTCAATTTAGGTTGTATTTTATGCTGCCACAGTCAGGATTATTTTCTGTGGTAATTGAAAGTGTGTTACAGATGCATCCTTTCTGTTGTAGAACACAATGTCAGATATTTTGAAAGTCATTCATGAAATCAATTGATTTTCATATATGGTTAAAATTCCAAGTTTTCTTCCACAAAAGAAGCTTGTTTGTTTTGTAACACCTCATTTGGTTTGAAATAGACTTGTGCCGGTATTCGGTAATGCGGTATATCACGGTAATGAATATGCACGATATTGTTATCGTGGGCACTTCTAAATACCGTGAATAATTATATATTACAAATTATTCCGAATTTTGAACGGATGTGAAGCACATGGCGGAACATGTGAGAGACGCTCTGGATGAAAGCGCACTTTCACTCTCTGACAGCAGATGGCGCTAAACTGCAGAAATAATAATAATAATAATAATAATAATAATAATAATAATAATAATAATAATTCATTTAAATGCAGCCGTTACCCCGGAAACCCTGTAAACAAAGCAGCTGCACTACTTTCTGTTTCTGAATCGTGTTTAAATGATTTAAGCAGTCATTCAGATTTGTGTATTTGCTATGATGTTCATCACAGCGCCAAATACTTATTAAATATACTTAATATTTAGACTTAATAGGCTATTTATTTTCAAACTTTTTTTTACATTTTAATCTGGACTACAACATGCCCTAGATATTGTTTGAAAGTGTTTTGATTCTTTATTGTTCGGTCACACTTTACATTAGGGCTTCATTAGTTAACATTAGTTAATTCATTAGTTAACATAAACTGCCAATGAAAAATTCTTCTGAACATTTATTACTCTTAGGTATTCCAATATTTAATAACAGGATGTTAAAGTCGAGAGTTGCAGCTGTGTTATTTAATGAGCTAACATGAGCTAAGACTTGTATTTTTTAAACAAAGATTAATAACTTCTGTAGCAAATGTAGCTATTGCTCATTGTGAGTGTTAATGCATTAACTAAGGTTAACTAATGAGGTCTTATTGTAAAGTGATACCTATTGGTCTTTATAGTTCTTTTGCACTTTAATCTGTGTAAAACTTTTAACTTTATACATTTTTCTGTATTGCTTTATTGCATTTAAATGTTCAGTTATTTTTGTTATAAGAAAAAAGTTATTAAACCTGTTATACTGTATTATGACAGCACTTTTTTTCTTTTAATTTCAATACCGTGATAATACCGTATACCGTGATAAAAGCATTAGCAATTAATCGCAACATGAAATTTTGATACCGGCATATCCCTAATTTGAAACAACATAATACTGAATAAGTGGTGACAGAATTGCAATTTTTGGACTTAAATTTAGCTTGTGTATATATGGCAGTCAAGCTTCTTCTTTAGTCTTCTTTAGAAGTTTATTTCTTCTGTCAAGCTTAAATTTTGAACTCAAAACAAATTAAAAACTCATAGCAAACTAATTAGTTTTTTTTATTTGATTTACATATATCAATGAACCAGCCAACTTGTACTTACTGTGCCACCTGCAAAGCACATTCAAATCACGTAGTCACATGGGTGTAGCTTTGTGTTTTCAAGTCCACATTGACTTGAGTATGTTGCTTTTGAAACACATAATATATACCCCACATTTGTATGAATATAAACGTACATTAGTGACTGACTGTTGGACCTCACTGATCCGTAATAAAACTGTTGACCATTCTATCTCTTAGTTAGTAGATAATCTAAGAACATTTATCTCACACAAAGAGTAACACTACCCTTTCAGGAGGGTGTGTTTCATGAATAGCCCCATGGAAAGTGGCCAGTGACGGCAGGGTTTAAACCAGACAGCACAGCGATACATAACTTGACAAGTTTTCCTTGGCTGAGGTTTGTTTTAGGTCATTAGTAAAAGGACAAACTACCAAAACGGCGGTTATTGAGCAAACGCAAAACAGACAGTCAGACTACCGTAATGGTGAGTGGTGTGTGTTCCTTGTTCTTTGTGTTTCTGGGTGCAGAATAAGGGGTCTTTTATTACACCCAAAGCTGTGTGAGTGTGCTATTTTAAGCAGCTTTTTTATACACTACCATTTAAAAATTTGATTATGATTTTTTTTGGCAAGTTCAATTGATCAAAATGCTTATATAAGCAGCACAAAGCATTAATGAAGACTAACGTAATGGCCGCTGTATACATTACAGAATAAATTAAGTTTTTAAAATATAGTTGAATAGAAAACTGTTTTAAATAATAATATTTGATGATAATAACCAATAATGAATGCTATGCTGATATTACTGTTTTACTGTATTTTTGATCAAATAAATGCAGCCTCGGTGAGCACAAGATACTTATTTCATTTAAAAAAAATCTTACTGACTGCAAACTTATATTTATGATTCATTTGTGCATAGCATGTATTAATGTCACTGCATTGTTAGTCCAGCGGAATATTAGTGTCATTGGCAATGAGGTCAGAGTTATTCTGAGTTTCAATCTCATGGTCTTTAAAGATGAAATGTAGTGAAATGTAATGATGTATATTTGAATTAAACCAAAAGTACATTTACTTCCTAAACAGTTTTTTTTTATTTATTTATTTATTTTTTATCAGCTGGCATACAAAAAAAGGATGACCAAAGTCCCATTAAAAAAAAAATCTGTTACTTAAAATAAAATAAACATTACCTGAAACACGTAAACAAACAATTTAATTTCAGATAGTTGCTAACAATAAAAATAGTATTTAAAAAAAACAAACATATATGATGTGGTGAGGGAGGCCTTTTACCTCTTAATTGGGTTAATACAGGTTCAAAACAAACACTTCAGTAAAGTTTTTTCAATAAATACACTGTCATTAAAATGTATTTATTTTAAAAATGCATAAATAAAATATATTTATAATAAATAAAATAAAGATTCTTACCATGCATGAAGGAGATCCAAAAATCATTTAATACAACTTTTCAGTAGCAATACATTGTTTATATGATTAGTATGATATTTTTTAAATACAATGGTTTTATTATAAATGTGGTGATTATCTATAAGGTGGACACCCAGCTTAAATTATTTCCACCATCTATCCATTCCATGCCAACTAATGGAGAAGTCAGCTGGTTATTTATTATCATGTCAATTATTGTGACATTTTTGCACCAACAAAAGGGGGCACTTTATACACAAAATACCATACTTTGACATGTTCATACGTTTTTGAAAAACTGTTGATTATGACCTGTGCTATACTTAAAATCACACCTTTGGGAGAGGGGGAAAAAAAAAACTATAAAATATATTTGGTAAATTTTAATTATTCTAATTTGCTACAAAAAATTGTCATACAAATAAAAATAAAATGCCAGGGATCACACTGAGGATCAGCCAAGTTTTCAAGAGCATAATGTAATGTGGTTGCTTAGAAAAGTGCTGCAGTGTTTGGGACATCTAGTGGTTTAAAAGAAAATTAAATCAAATGTGCCTGTTCTACTCGTGGCCCTTTAGCCTAATTGTATCCTACTCTTAAGTGTAAAAAAAAATCATAGCACATACAAAATGGATCAAATATTTAATTTAATTTATTTTTCTATAAATTTCAATAGCTCTTTTTTTAAAATGTTGCCTGCATAAAGCAGCTTCGTAGGTTTTGAACAGAACTGAAAGATTTGGGCTGAGGTAACACTCAGAACACCCTGGCAACCCTGTAGCAATGTTAATTAACACAAGAACCATTCACAATTTCTTCAGAATATGTAAAAATCTAATTGGTATATTTAATTTTCCTGAAAAATGTTCAGAGGAAAGGAATGTAATTACATTTTGGTGAAAAATTGTGAAAACAAACTTTTATTTTTCTTCAGAAAAAAAAACAAAAACATGCACTGATGAATTGTGCGTAACAAGGCCAGGGACATTTAACATCTAAACAGGGTCAATTTTAATTTGATGCTTTCTTGCAGCTGTCATAAAACATACCCACACACTCCCCCTCCCTGAGTGTCAGGCTCTGTTGACTGAAATATTATCTTTGCAGACTGTGTGTGTGTGTGTCTCTGTCAGCATGAAATCTTTAGCTGGGTGTTCTTGATGTATGTATTCAGGTGAGTTTGTCTTTGTTCTGTAGATTCTGAAAAGAGGCTGTGGTGTCAATGACCGAGATGGTCTTACTGACATGACTTTATTGCACTACTGCTGCAAGGCAGGGGCTCCAGGAATAGGTGAGCATGTATTTAATTGAAGGAAAAAAAAAGAAAGCTTTTTAATTAACATTTCTTTGTGATGGTTTACTTTAGTAGAAATCTCAAGGACCGATCACTGATCCAGCACAGCACAAGATATGACAGTCACATCTGATTGCAGGTGACGCTGAGAGTGCTGCCAGTTTCGCCCGTCAGCTGTTGTCGCTGGGAGCCGAGCCGTCCTTACGCAGCCGCTGGACCAACATGAACGCTCTCCACTACGCCGCATATTTCGACGTCCCTCCTCTCATCCGTGTGGTTCTGCAGGCGTCACAGCCGGGAGGTGAGGAGAGATAATGGAATGACAGTGGGAATCAAAATTGCAGTTTGAATCTCATGGCAAACTCAAGTGCTTGTGTGGTGATGTCCGTATGTGGTCTGTTGGGTTTCAGAGGTGGATGCGACCTGCAGTGATTTTGACTTTGGCACTGCGCTGCACATCGCCGCCTCGAACCTGTGTACCTCTGCAGTGAAGTGTCTGCTGGAGCTGGGAGCCAACCCCGCTTTTAGGGTTTGTGATTTTCTTTATGGCTACTAACAAAGCAAATTGAAATCCAGGTTTCTTTGTTAGTTGTTCAAGTATCTGTTGTAAACCTGCTTTCTCATGTTGGAGCTGTGACACTGGAAGTACTACACAAGTTTACTATAAGAGCAATGTCTGCAGCAAAACTCCAGTAGACCAGTTTTGAAGATAAATGCAAAAAGAGGAAATAATAAAATATTTAAAAATGATTGTGCATTAGATAATAACAGTGACTATAATTAAGAAAATATTATTATTATTATTATTATGATTATTTATTTATCGTGCAGCCCTAGAAATTATTATTATTATTATTATTATTAATAATAATAATAATGTTAATAATGCATTATTATTATTATTAATAATAATAATAATAATTTCTAGGGCTGCACGATAAATTGCATGCGATATTTAATGTGCATCTTGTCAGAAAGCCGGTTCTATAATCAGCGGTAAATCTCCATCACGTGCGTG